GAAAGTTTTGATTTTTTCCGTCTTTCGTATAATTTGCGTAGTTTTCTTGATTGAAGTTTTGAAATTAAAGTTTAAGTATGGTTTTGTAGAGTATTTCGAGGCGCATCTTTAAAAAGAAACACTAACCTTAGGGTCCTAAAGAAATACGAGAAAAATAGAAAATACTGAGAGGGTCATTTATTCTGCCGCACCCGTTAGTAAAAAATGTGGACTCATGTTTATTACTTAATTAATCTGAAAAAACGACAAGAAATAGCCAAGCTGAATATGAATAATGGATTGCCAGTGAGTACTATGTATAATAATGGTATCACTTTTCCTTGTATTCTTGCTATGTGTAGATGAACGAGTTTGTTTGCGGGCGAAACTTTTGTCGCGCACTGTGTAGATATGGACGTTGATCTCGGATTAGAAATGAAGATATCTCGTAGGGAGCTCCGAGTGCTTCTGCTTCATGAATTCCGTTTGGGTCGCAAAGCAACGGAAGCAACAAGCAACATATATGGCACGATGGGCAAGGATGTACTCTCCATCCGTGCAACGCAACATTGGTTCAACCGATTCAAGAATGGTAACTTCGAACTCGACGATTTACCTCGTTCCGGAAGACCACTAGAGGTGGATACGGATGTCTTAAAGCAGCTTATCAAAGAAGATCCTAGATTGACTACACGGTGTTTAGCAGAGCGGCGTGGGTATTCTCATACTGCAGTAGAAAAGCATCTGAGCGAATTAGGCAAGACGTCGAAATATGGAGTTTGGATACCACATGATTTGTCACCACATCAGTTCCAACACAGGGTTGACGCATGTATGGAATTAATGACATCTCACCGCAACTACCAATGGCTCCGTAATCTTATTACCGGCGATGAAAAGTGAGTGTTATACATTAACCACACGCGCAAGCGACAGTGGCTTAGAGCTGGACAAACAGGTGTAGCAACGCCCAAAATGACCTTCACCGAAAGAAGATTATGCTGAGCGTTTGGTGGAGAGTGCGAGAGATTATTCATTGAGAGCTTCTTCTAACTGGCTGCACCATCACTGCTGATCTCTACTGTCAGCCATTAGACCGAGTTGCAGCAAAACTCCAGGGGAAGCAGGATAGAATTTACTTTTTGCATGACAAAGACCTCATATCGCAAAGTCAACGCCTGAAAAATTATTGAAGTTCGGATGGGTTACGGTTCCACATCCACCGTATTCTCCGGACTTGGCACCTACGGACTACCATTTGTTCCGTTCTCTTTCTAATCATTTGCGCGAAAAAAACTTTGACGACGAGAACGACCTCAAAATGGACCTCGTCAACTTCTTCGGCCAGAAGTCCCAGAACTTCTACGAACGCGGGATCCTTTCTCTTTCAGAGCGTTGGCGACAAATCATAGATAGTAATGGAGTATACCTTGTTGAAAGCTAGTTGTATTCTTGTGGTTGAAAAATAAAATGAAAATCGTTGAAAAGAAACGCAAAAACTTTCTTGCCGACCTAATATTATCTTAATCAGAAAAATCTCTGCATTGAAAATCTGATTTTCTTGCTGAGATCATTGAAAGAAACCATGAGAAAGAACTAAACAGAAGTAAACATGATAATCTAGGTGATAAGAGACTAGTTCCCTCAAACATTAGCCAGTGACCTTTGTTTTCCCATCAACGTTAATGAAACCACATATTTTTTTAAAACATGCGCACATCTTTTAAAAAAGAAAAGAAAGAAGAAAATTGTAAAGTTCATCGAGTTCTAGTTAAAAGAAAGAAAACTGTCATGTGTTCTTAGTGTGTGTTACTTCATCTGTGTGTACTTCTTTTATGTATTGTTTGAAAATGACTGTAAAAGTCGAAATATCACTATATTAAAGTAACAAGAATTTTTATTATGAGATTCTATACAGCTGCATTGACAATCTTACATTTGTGTCAAAAACCGTTGCCCAATAAAGAAAAAAACTACTTTTATTGAAGAATAACCTAGAACGGAATAAATTTTCATCATCTATTTAGCGGTTATCAACTTCGTCAAAAAGTAGGAAGCGTTCTGATCAATAGTTTGCACTTCTCACACACATACCAGACACGTATCTTCTATCCTCTTCTTTCTGGCTTTTATTTTTTCTTAAACACACACCACTAATACCTATTTGTATTTCTCATCTGTGATTCGTTTACTCGCTCAGATTGCCTAGTATAATGCAACTGCGATTCCTGGCTTTCTGCTACATTCATACATTTTTAGTATTTGTTTTTATGTCGACAAACATTATGTATTTTTGCTGGAAATTTTGTCCTTTTCTTTTTGTATGGGGCTTTTTTTGTGCAAAATGTGCACCTCATTATCTAAAAGTTCTGGAAAGAGGAGGAGATTCTCCCGACATTGGAGATTGATCAATGCACATCTTCCGCGCAAATAAGGACCACTTCTGGCAGATTCAGATCGGATACAGTCTGTCGACATCGCAACTTGTGCGTAGCACAATTGCTCTCTAGTTTCTTTTTCATATATGTTCGGTTTCTTTCATCTAATATATACAGCTTAAATTAGATTGCAATTGTGCTATATGCACAAGTTCCGATGTCGACAGACTCTGTATATCTCAAACGCTCCGAAAACGAAATACTCTAGAGACAAACCCTATCTATCCGGCTTGATTAACTTCAATAGTACTATGAAATCTTTCTTGCAGTTTTTTACAAGACAAATAAAACCATAAAATGATATTCGAAAGCAGAGTAAACGTGAAATGTTTCCTTCTTTGAACAAAAGACTGTGGAGAACAAGTATAAGAATTAACAAAATCGTATTTTCTTATAGATTAAACTTCTCTCCAAAAAATGACGCCAGACAACTGAATATGCGAAAAATTTCGAAGTCCAAAATACATTTTTCTTTCACTTCCGGCGCTTGCGGCATCGAATCTGAACCTTTATTTGCGAGAAAAATGTGTATTGATCAATCTTCAACGTTGAAAGAATATCCTACCTTTTCCAGAACTTTTCTAGGTTTCATAGTTCTCTAGATCACGCGGTGCACATTTTGCCCAGGAAGAGGATGGAAGAAGAAAGCTAGCGAGCAATTGTGCGGTGCACAAGTTGCCATGTCGAGAGACTCTGCAGACAGTTGCCCAAAGTTATCAATTCAATCAGTAGATTTCCACTGCACCACTTTCACTGTGATTTTCCATTTCAGCTACTTTAAAAGGGATAATTAGAGAGAATAATAGAACAGAGAACGAACTAGAGAGCCAACTATCCTTCGGCAAAATTGGAAAGTCGACTGACTGAAACGGTAAACAGACGAAATTAGAAGATCCAAAAAGTTATAATAGTTTCGCTATCTCTCAAGAAGAACGTACATTGCTATATCAGTCGATCATTATCGTGTCATATATTCTACTATAGTATAGCTTTCATCATATCCAGTATATTGTAAGATATATTCAGTATGAAGTGAATCACATGATGATTAATTATCTCATAGGAAGAACGACAGAGTTATCTCAAAAATATACTCATTTTGTGACACTAATTATAGAATAACTAATGGAAATATCCGAAAACTAACTTTAGATGTGTCATTTACAGATCCTCTACTTTCAAATCATATTTTCCCTTAATGTGTATGATCAGAGATAACCAAGAATGAATGTCTGACTCGACTTATTTGTAAAAAGAACATACACTGATCAATCTTCAGTACCTAGAGAATGTGCTCACGGTTTCAGAAGCCCCCAAAACGAAATGACTGTAAAAGTATTATAACTTTATATCATAGAAACATGTTGCTGTGGCATTTAATGACGCAAACAAGTCATTCAATAAAACTAGTTAAAATTTATTTCATATCAATAAAATTGATTAGCGTAAAGAATGAATTTAACAACAGAATGTTTACGGCAACCATTAAACAATACTACTCATCACCTTATCTCAGCGTTATAAATCTTTAACAAAGAAGTTTTTTATAAATCATTATAATAAATACTTGTGATATACTTTCGCTCATATGACTATCACATCGTTGCAGCTGATATTCGACATGAATTTCTTTGCATTTTCTCTGATTTTGCTCGTTTTTAATACAATACCAACAAATGGTCTTGAGTGCTATAAGTGTTATTGTGCAGACAGTGCAGCCTGTCCATGCAACGAAACGGAATCACGTCAAGGAAATAATACATACTGTGTTATTACTCGGGAGCATATTGGTGGAAATTTTGACATATCACTAGGGCATATTGGAAGAAATTCTACAAAAGTATACATTAAAAATCCGCACTACATCTCTGTTCGGGAATCTGTCAAATATAATGATAATACGTCTGAATGGGAAACTATACCAGATCTCATTGCATATGGATGTAATTGGGATTATTGCAATCAACCAGAACTCGTTCCACTACTACCAGGAAGTTTATCTCTGTCATTACCCAACGCATGGTTGGACACTTTTATTCTTGGTACAAACCCTTCGACCTGTCATGAATGTCGTGATGGTCCCGTATGTGGTGATACTGACTTTTTTGATATTTCAAGGTGTCCAGAGAAGGCTTGCAATGCAACATGTATTCTGAGTGATCTATTCGATAATCCGGATACAAATCCTCTTCAATTCTGTTATCAATCGTTCTGTTATGGGGATGAATCAACGTCTGATCTTGATATAGACACACATCGAATTCAGGTCGATGGCATTTATTATTTGGATACTCGGAAATTTGATATTTGGGAAATAGATATATTTTGTCGTGCGGATGACTGTAGTCGGCCAGAGATATTTAATGAAATACGGTCAAATCTCACAACACAAATCAATGTAAATGCATTTCTCAGTCTTCGTCCTGATGGTCTTTGGTGTTATAGTTGTGATCAATGCATTGATACAACAACTTGTCCATGTATTGATGTCGAATTTAAAGAAGGAAAGGATAGTTACTGCATTATTGAGCGTGAGAATATCGGACAAAACTTCTACACCACCATCGGATATATTGCAAGAAATTCGACAAAAGTGTACATTAAAAATCCCTATTACATCTCTGTTCGGGAATCTATCAAATATAATGATGATACGTCTAAATGGGAAACCACACCAGATCTCATTGTGTACGGATGTAATTGGGATTATTGCAATAAAGCTGAACTCGTTCCACAACTACCCGGAAGTTTATCTCTGTCATTACCCACAGCATGGTTGGACACTTTTATTCTTGGTACAAACCCTTCAACCTGTCATGAATGTCGTGATGTTCCCGCATGTGGTGATACTGACTTTTTTGATATTTCAAGGTGTCCAGAGAAGGCTTGCAATGCAACATGTATTCTGAGTGATCTATTCGATAATCCGGATACAAATCCTCTTCAATTCTGTTACCAATCATTCTGTTATGAGGGTGAATCAACGCCTGATTTTGATATAGACACACATCGAATTGAGGTTGACGGTATTTATTATTTGGATACTCGGAAATTTGATATTTGGGAAATAGATATATTTTGTCGTGCGGATGACTGTAGTCGACCAGAGATATTCAACGAAATACGATCAAATCTAACACAAAATGTTAGTGTCAATGCATTTCTAAATCTTCGTCCTGATGGTCTTTGGTGCTACAGCTGCGATCAATGCATTGATACAACAACTTGTCCATGTATTGATACTGAATTTAAAGAAGGAAAGAACAGTTACTGCATTATTGAGCGTGAGAATATCGGGCAAAACTTCTACACCACCATCGGACATATTGCAAGAAATTCGACAAAAGTGTACATTAAAAATCCCTATTACATCTCTGTTCGGGAATCTATCAAATATAATGATGATACGTCTAAATGGGAAACCACACCAGATCTCATTGTGTACGGATGTAATTGGGATTATTGCAATAAAGCTGAACTCGTTCCACAACTACCCGGAAGTTTATCTCTGTCATTACCCACAGCATGGTTGGACACTTTTATTCTTGGTACAAACCCTTCAACCTGTCATGAATGTCGTGATGTTCCCGCATGTGGTGATACTGACTTTTTTGATATTTCAAGGTGTCCAGAGAAGGCTTGCAATGCAACATGTATTCTGAGTGATCTATTCGATAATCCGGATACAAATCCTCTTCAATTCTGTTACCAATCATTCTGTTATGAGGGTGAATCAACGCCTGATTTTGATATAGACACACATCGAATTGAGGTTGATGGCATTTATTATTTGGATACTCGGAAATTTGATATTTGGGAAATAGATATATTTTGTCGTGCGGATGACTGTAGTCGACCAGAGATATTCAACGAAATACGATCAAATCTAACACAAAATGTTAGTGTCGATGCATTTTTAAATCTTCAACCAAACTCTACTACAGCAGTTTCTCAATTAAACACGTCTCAAAGTACAGGCGCAACTGTACGTCTTTCATCAACCATGTCTGGGAACACAAATACATTCATTCCTGGAACAGGCAGTTCCACCATTTCTACGTCATCGACTGCCCTACCACCTATTACTCAGCGAACGTCTGCTAGTACTCCCGGAAATGGTGATACCACTACATCTACTCAGCGTACAGCGACAATCACAAACTCTGCAGCCATGTACACATTTGAATACTTCGTAATAATAATATGCAGTCTATGTCAATTACTAGCCGCCATTTATTAAAATGCAACATCATGTTATTCTTATATCTGACAGAGAACTTTTAATGGTAACATCAGTGGGTGCTAATGAAGAGTATTTCTCATACTTTGATACATTTCATAAATAGAAACTACACTCGAATTCTATAAACGTTCCACTGAATTGTTGCATGCAATTTTGTTATTGTCTGTTTTTATATAACCTTTATTTAAGAGAATTATCACATTAATGGATACCACCATAATGGTATCTTTACAAGAAAACATCACGTTCTGTGAGTAAGAAAGCAGCATAAGTCAAACTTGCACACTACAGAAGCATATCAGAAGAAACATTAGTAGTAATTTTGATCAAAATATCATTACATAGTTTTATACTATAGGCGGTTGAGCCTCTTAAAACCTAGTGTGACTAAAAATTTTTTCTCGGTCGAAGGTAGTACCCTAGAGATCAGATCTTATATAGGATTCCCATAGGAATCTTATAGGAATCTTATGAATTTCTTAATAAGGCTGTCAGTGGAAATGCGTAAAATATTGATAAGATTCTCATAAGATTCTTATAAGAATACATAAGATACTTTTAAGATTCTTATGTAAGATATGTGCAATGCAGCTACTTAGAATCCATATAAGATTTCGATAAAATTTGATAACATTTCGATAAGATTTGGTGAGAATTCCAACGACTATTTTTCTGAATATTATTTGTGTTACTGTGTGGCGAAAGAGAAGAAGCCAGTATCATCGATGATAATACTATGTTGTAGTTGTGTCTATTGCTGCCAAAAATAACTCTACTTCCTATTTTCGTCACAAAACTGAATCACACAGACTGAGAAACAAGCTAAAGAGTTGACATAAATGAAGACTCAACTATACTACGTTGAAGAGATAAAGATCTTTTGGGACTTGATACCGCGTCATTGCGAAGGGGAACTTATAACTTTTTCTACAGTATAAGGCACTAAAGAGTTCAAAAGTAATTTTGAAAAATTAAAAGTTGGGTTGATTTATAAATCGGCTTGAACGCAGACAAAGTGCAGCATTTTTGTTCAGTGAGTCATCACAAAGCTGCACTCTGCCTGCATTCAACTCGATTTATAAATCTCAACTAGAGTTAAAATTTTTGACTCGAACTATTTACGACTATTTTAAATATTTTTACTAAAAGTTAAAAAATAGTTATAAATGATTGAAGCTCTAATATAAATATTTATAAATCATATACTTTTAAACTCTCCACTGGTACATGCGGATCTTCTATGTGCCAACTTCTTTGAGTTATTTATGCTCAACAAAATATTAAGTCTTTCCTCCGTGTATTACTGACTTCGACATAAGACTAGAATTTACTTTTTAAATAAAAATGTGTAAAATCTCACTGTGTCAAAATCATTTCCATTCTCAGATCTAGCACAGTCAGTCTGTTTGACTGACACAATAACAAAGATCTTGACTGTATGAAATGTTTAAATGAGATTCATGATCGTCACACTACTCGGGAGAGAAAAATGTTTAATCTTGTGGCAAAACGGAAAAGGGTACACCTCCCTTTCTCTTCAGACAACCGCAGTGGGCTTACCGTCCCTTCAAACTACAAACAAACAAATATGTCTGATTGTAATAGCTGTACGACAGCAGAAGCGCTGTCTATATCGATTAGTCTATAAAAAGAAAAATGTCCGTTAATTCTTCTTCCAGTACATCATAGAGATATAGAGTAATGTGGGGCAATTCAGTAATTTTTTTGTATCCTTGTAAATCTTTTTGGAAAATTTTTGTTATTTTCGGGGATTTTTCTGCACTTTTTGGCTACGATATAAGGAGGACTCTTAGCTACCTGTCTATGAAAAATCGTCTTCAACACTCTCAGGATAACGATCTTAAAAGCGGATTACTGGATTGCACCATGGACTTTCTTGAATTGTCCCAGTGAAGGCTATTCAAGAAAATACATAGTTCTGGTTGCGGCAATTCAGTAGTCTCGCTAAAAGTGAACGATGGTTTTTGATTTTTATAAAAGTTAATTATCTCAGGAATAATTAGATATTGTTAAGAAGATTTTTATATCATCGAATTCCTCTTTCTCTCAAAAACACAATGGTATCAAACTTCAAGTTATCGGACCAAATTCACTGTTATTTTCACTCTCTGGAAATAAGAGACGTCGGTCATTCTTGAATTGCCCCAGATGGGGCAATTCGAGAATACTATTAGCTCCAGAGGCGGTCAGTGATATAGTTTTTAAAAAGTTCTATTAAAAAAATCAACGTTCACCTCCTAAAAGAGATTAAGCAAACACTTATTTATCTAATGCTTTTCTTTGTTTTTATTCTTTTATTCTTGCAGTTTTTAAAATTAATCCAAGCTGAAACATATTAAAATACTTTCTCTTCATCAACTGAGCACTTTCCCGTTTCTACTTTTGCCTCAATGATCATTTTTTATCCACTTTTTTCAGTTGCGTTTACTTCAG